AAAAAAAGGAAAAAAAAGAAAAAAAAGAAAGAAAGAAAGAAAGAAAGAAAGAAAAGGAAACCTGGTGTGTTACCCAGGCTTCTGCTTGTGTAGAAAAATGCCTTGGCTAAGCAATGAATAGAGATGAAAGGGTTCTTGTGGCTCATTGCTTTGGGGACTTTGGTATAAGACAGACTGACCCTTTTGCTCTGGACCTATAGCAGTACATCATGGTGAAGTGTCTGGGGAGCAAAGATGCTTATCCCATCACTACAATTTGAGAAGAGGGCGGAGCTGCGGTTCCATGGTTGCCTTTTAGGGCAGTTCCGTGCTCTCACTAGGCCCCATATTTCAAAGATCTCTTGTATCTCTCACGAGCTCCATCCTGGAGAGTAAGCCTTTAAAATGTGAATCTCTGTGGGACATTAAGTTTCAAGGAACGGGGGCCGGCCAGACAGCTAAGCAGATTAAAGCAACTGCTTTGGCAGATGCAGGGACCAGGGTTTGATCCCCTGCATCCCGTGCCAGCCCTGCATCCCAGGGTGTGCTTCGAAGGTGAATGAGATTGGGCATGGTAGCATGCACCTGTAACCCCAGCTCTTGAGAGGCTGAAAACAGGAGGATCACTACGAGTCCAATCTGTGTAGTGAGACCCTGTAGACCCTGTACTAAATACATGAAAAAAAAAGCTTCAAGAAACTGCTGGGAGTAGTGTTGTACATTGGAATCTGAGCATATTGAGAGATTGAGGCAAGAGGCTCTCAAGTTTGAGTCTAACCTGGACAACTTAGCAAATTAGTCAGAACTTTTTTCAGAATTAAAAATTGAAAAAACAATAAAGAGCTATGTTTATATCGCAATGCAAAGGCCCTGTGTTTAATGTCCAGTATCCCCCTTTCCAAAATATCTAAACCATAGCACCTGGACCCTGAGCTCACTTTGCTGAAGATGTTGGTGAGCCATGACAGCTGCTGATGAGTGGCTGGTCTCACCAGTGTGACACCAGAGAAGGGAGTAGAGCTGGTATAAAGCAAGAACAGTCAGGAGTTACGGGAACAGCAGTGTCTGTGAGGTTCTCTTTGTTTGCAGCAAGACAAGGAAAATATTCTGGATTAACAGGCATTTTTTCAGATCAATAGCATCTTTATTTCTGATTTGGAGTTGTTCACATCCTCTGGCAGCAAAGCAAAGAGGAAGTTCAGCTCAAGCTTGTGAGGCCTAGAAAGTAGCCATGGGGTAGAGGAGATTCGCCTTTAGCTTTGTAGCAGGTGGAATACGGAGTGGGTATATTTGACATGGAATTTAGCAAGTCATATTTTTTACTAATATTTACCACACTTTTTACTTCTTTAAAAGATAATTATAAGCAGAAAAGAGGAGTCAAGTATTTGAGTTGTTTGGAAATACTCTTACATCTTTCTATGGACCTCTGCATGGTCCAGTACAATTGCCATATGTACCCATTCAAATTTAAATTAAGAGAAATTACAATAATAAATTAGGATTCAGCCCATCTGTCATGCTTGGCATACTCTGAGTGTTCACCAAGTCAATGTACTGGGGCCTATACGCTAGAGAGGGCAGATGCACTCTGCAGAGTAGACCACTGCACGCATAGTACGATGCTGTAAGTGCAGCTCCAGAATTTGAATTCTTGCAAATATTATACAGCCTTTTTATATCTTAAAGCCTTCTTGTCTTGTTAGGACTTTTTCACCTATGAAGTTGGGCTAGTATGCTGTCCTGCAAAGGGCTGCTGAGATTTAAATGAAATATTAGTGTCTCTCTTTTTTTTCTTTTTGGCAGTACTGGGAATCAAACTCAAGACCTTGTGCCTGCCAGGCAGGCACTTAGGCCACTAAGCTATCTTCCCAGTCCCTATTAACTGTCTTAAAGCACACACCCCAATTGCCTGGCACATTATAGACAAAGTACACATGTGGCTTGATTGCAACTGTCGACAAGTTCATTCATTCTCTGACCAAAAACATCTGCATTTTAAAAGTGTCAAGTACCTAGGACCAGAGATAGAGATGGCTCAGTGGTAGAGCCCTTGCTTAGCATGTACAAGGCCCTGGGTTCAGTGTCCATCCCTGAAAACTAAAAAGAAAACAAAACAAAAACATACCCCCTCTACAACCCACAAAGCTTTCTCAATCAATTGGAATCAGATTATTTTTATGAAACTTAAGTCAGTCATCATGGTTGATGAATGCCTTTCTCAGAACCAGGCCAGGATCATACTGTCAAGTCCGGCCTGAGCTACACAGCAAGTTTAAAGCCAGTGTGAGATCTACACATAGCAACCCCAACCCCAATCATCAGTCTTAAGGAAAATCTCCTTTCTAAGTATTTTTGTGTCTTAATAGAAAAGAAGGAAATAAGAATCCCCATGAGTAGTAACAGTTCTAGCCCTGACATGCCCCCTTCCCTTTTTAAGAGTCCTATAAGATTAAAAAAAAAAAAAAAACCTGCAAAGAGGAGTTATGCTGTAGGTGTCAACACAGTCTTGGGTCCAGACAGGCAAACTGGCTGCTCCTGTGGGAACCGTGTATACACAGCACAGGTAATTACTTTGGGTTACAGCTGCTAACATGATTTTGCAGACTCCCTGCCTGCAAAAGACTGATCATCCCCTCCAGAACCGGCCTGAACTAACTGCCACCATGCACCTTGCAGACCTACCAGAGCTTCTCCTGCCACAGGCTCTTTAGGTCTCTCATAATTTGCATTCCTTAGGCAAATGGAATTTAAATGGGGTAGGCAGCTTTCATCCTGATAGAGCACCAAGACGCTGTGTGTGCCATGATCTCACTGCTCAGGACTTCTGCTTTCAAATCACTGATGTATATGCTTCAACAGGCAGGGAGGCAGAGCAGCTGGCCCGGGTTTGCTAGTTCCCACCAATGCTTCTTCCCGCTTGCTCAGCCCTTGCTTTTCCAAGCACCATCACATATCTTAGCAGGACTTGATAATGTTCTGCAGAGGTGGGAAGACACTGAGGCACTGCAGCAGAAGACCCGAATTCTGGAGCTGGGCTCCAAGATAAGAAGCCTAGAAGTAGCTGTTGCTTTGTAGTCACTAAGAAATGTGAAATGTGTTACGGCCAGATGTGTTAATTGGCCTGCGCTTGCCAATGGAGAGAATGGTGGTGCCCTTCTAGGTTCACAAGGATAAAGGGAATCATTGTGTACTTGCAGCAATTCACTCAATTTACTGGAAAAGATCTACAAAGTATTTCACTAGTAACCCTAAATGACACTTCTGCCTCCTGTTTGCCTTGACTTATTTAATTGCTCCTCCCTCATCTGACTCATTAATGAGATGACAGAATAACTTAAGTTTCTTTGGGACTCTGCTGTACTGCAGTACTGCCTGATGACCTTCATTTTCCTAGTTCTTCTGATAAAGAGGACACAGTGAACTGGGTCTGAGAAATTTGTCTCCTTTTGAGGGAGAGATCAGTAAAGGCCCTGTGGTCTGCGTAGGACACTAAAGCTGGAACTAGAGCTCTTTGTCGGGATCTGAGGACATTTTGTCGCTAACTCTGTAAACCATTTTCTGGCCATGGGATGGTGAAAAGAACCATGCTTCAGGCTTAAATGTGTAGGAAGGATTAACAAAAGTTGGGTACAGGCACATCAATGTGGTTATGAAATCCCATCCCAGCTCCTATAGTCCTTTTTCTTTTTTGGCGGAACCGCAGATTGAACTCAGGTCCTTGTGCTTACCAGGGAAGTGCTTATTCCACTGAACCGTCTCCCCAGCCCCTAGTCCTTTCTTTCTGCATCTCCATGGCAAAGCTTAGAAGCACCAGTTTTAGATCATGAGCTTCCATGAGTTTTCTCTGGATTTTCCTTTTCAAAAATCTCATTGCTTTTCTCAGTCCTGAAGAAAAACTGTTACTGAAGATGTTGATGTTACCAATTTATTTATTTACAAATTGCAGATAAATTTGCAATTGGATGCTTTGTGTGCTAACTACCTTGAGCTACTCCAGTGAAGCCTTATGTTTCTGTCCTGAGGGCCTCAGAACCTTCCTTGCTCACTATGTGATGTGCATCATCCACTCTGTTTCAGTATCTGGGAGGGAAGACGTTGGTACAGAAAACCTCATTGAGCAAATTGATGGTGTGTCAAAAGCAATCTGAAACCACAGCAAATGCCTATCAGAGAATCTACTCTATCCTGAGTGACAGGCATATAATCTGCTAGTAATTTAGGCTTTCAGGGTTCTCTGACTCAGTAAAGTATGGGCTATTCTGGTCCAAGACAGTTTGATCTTGATTTTATACAGTTCTGAAGAAAACAGGCCTGGGAGGCCGAAATAGCTCAGGGATCAAAGTGCCTGCTTAAACAAGCACAGGGAGCGCGGTTTGATCCCTGGAACACATACTGTGCCAGCCCTGCCCCCAGGGCAAGCTGAGCTGGCCAGAGTCCAGGTGTAGTGCCGTATGCCTGTAAGCCCAGTACAGGGAAGGCTGAAAGCTGGAGGATCACCATGAGTCTGAGCTGTGTAGTGAGACCCTGCAACAACCAAATACGTTAAAAAAAGTAAATAAAAGAAACCAGGCCTCCAGGCAGAGCCTAAATAAATAAATGCTTTTGGCACATGTGTATCTTTATAAATTTAGAAATTGGGTTGTTTTTACCTTTCTACTCCAAAAATAATTATCGTAGAAATAGAACCTCTTCCTAGATGGGAATCAGTGTTCTTGAGAGACGGTAATGGCTAAACGTCCATTATGCAGTGGCTGGAGGTATGGCTTGGTGTTTGGCACCTGCCTAGCGTGCATGACCACCAGCACCAAAAAAGCCACCAGGAAGAACTCTTTGAATTTAAAATTAGCATGCATGGTATTGCCATCTGTCTTTCCAGTTTCAGCTCCAAGATCCCAAAGATTTAAGGATTTCCAACCTGTGTGATCACAAGAGGGGCAGCGGTGAGCCCAAGGGAGCCCGAGGGCCAAGGGCTGCCTACATTCTCTTCCCTCTGCAATAACAGCAGTTAATGCAACCAGTTCACTTCAGCAAATAATAAATTTATTAGGTGCCTACATGTACAAAACACTGACAGTTGCTGTAGAGGATTATAAAGATGTGCAGGAGATGCGCCGCCTGCCCTCGAAGAGCTTACAATCTAGGCAGTTAGTCACGTGGGTAAGTTGTGATGCTACAGCACTGCAGGTGACATAAACTGAATTTTTGAAAATGTGCCCATGCTTTGAGTCTTTGAATCTTTGTCAAAGCATTCTTACAACTGGGAAGCTGAGCAGTGGGAAAGAGACCTTTTGTGAAATGAATCTGAGACCCTGGCTTTGCTTACGAGCACCTCTGCTTGGCCTCTGCTCACTCTCATAACTTTCTCGGCGTGACTCCCTAAAGGGACCTTTGTTTGGAGACAGTCTCCCTGCTTCCTGAGCCTTCACCAGGATTTCCTGTTTTGATGAGTGGCTCAGTTGCAGTTTGGCCTGGGAATCGATTCTTGATCCAATTTTTTGTTCAGTAATTCTGCTGATTTTAATTGAAAACACAATGTTCCTACGCTTTGCAATCTGTGCTTTCATTGAGGTGGAAGATGCAACACCCAGGAAAGCAGGCCAGATTCTCTTCCCTATGTTAAACATTTAATAGTGCACTTGCTGGCTATACTCTGTACAGATATAGAGCAAATTATAAACTTCTTCCTTTTATTTAGTTTTTCACTTAGACTATATTCATGTAAAGTGTATTTACAATAAAGGGGGAGAAAGCCTTGAGGTACAAAACCCAAAAAGAATATCTGAGGTATAAATACAAATATATTTTAAATAATAATCTTTATCATGCTTCATCTATGTCTGAAAGCAGGTGGACAGACATGTGTACATGTTTCTTAATAGAATGGTATATACAACATACAATCTTACAAAGCTGGAAGCCATCAAAACTGAATATATATCTTCACAAGGAACACTGATATCCAAAATACTCAAATTTTAAAACTCTAATCTGACCCCCAAATTCTTCAAACAACCTCTGAAATAACACTGACAATGGTAACTAAAATACATTATAACAAAATAAAAATCCTTCTTGCAACTCTCATTCATACATTATTCACTTTTGATCATACAAAATAAATTTACTAATACTGTCTTGAGTCAACCTTGATCATTCCAGTAAAACCTGTATAAAGACCACTCTTCCAAAAACACTAAGCTGTTTTTCAATATGATTACTACTTCCCTTTATTACTAACATGTATATCAAGGGCATTATAAAGGAAAATAAAAAGAAATATAGAGAAAGCAAAATGAAAAAATCTAAAAAACCTGTTTGTTGATAAGGACAAACCCCCAATTAATAAATATGTGCAGTTTGCAGGAATGCTGTTAACAGCTACCAAAAAAAAAAAAGGGCCAGGACAAAATTAAATTTACAGAGATTTCCTTGGGAGAATTTCCTATCTTCCTACGCATAGTGTGCACAGTGTCTTAAACAGCTTATGCTATCAACACGAAAATACAAAGAATTTCAACAGATAAAAAAGTTTTGATGTTTAATTCAAAAATAAATTTTTGAGTGTTTTGTTTTCACTTCTCACTTAAAAACAAAAATCAAAACCTATTCTTTGGAGCCAGTATGGACGGAGAGGAGGTCATTCACATCTCCAAGATCTTTACCGGCTGACACCACATCTGGATTGTGGCAATCAAGTCTGGCAACAAATTGCATTTGAAATAAGTATCAAAATAATCTACAATTACTTTCAAGGGAGAATAGCGGGTGGTGGATAAAGAGTATGCTTAACAACGTAGGGGAAAAAAAGGAATGGGGGTGTTGGGTCCTTTCTGAATGAATCCTTGGGTAGTCAAGCAGTCCAGGTTAAACTGAACCTGGTGCATCAACATGCTTCCCAGAGGCACCTCAGTGTGCCAGACACTGTATCCCACCCTACACATCCAGGCCATTCAACCCTCGTCAAACACACAGTCACACTCCTCTGTGCAAACCTTTCTTTGATCATCTCAGTGAGAAAACATGTCAGAGTACCAACTATTCCAGTGGATACACCAGTCCTGCAACACACTGCAAATATATGACATAGGTACACAAACACTGGCATCATGACAAAATGAAGTATCTTCATTATCTTCCATAATGAATTTAGAGTTTTGCTTCTCAGAAGCAATTTGAATAAGAATACATTTTTCTTTTGCACAGTCTTATATATTCCAGTCAAGGTCTACAACTTAGACCTAAAACAAACAGGAAGCAGCTTTAAAAGTGTGTCAAATGGCTAGAGTCATTTTCCACACTCCAACTTGTATTTGTTTCAGGATCAGACACAGACCGATTCTCCCGAGAACTGGCAAGGTTCTAGGACGTCACCTGGGTGGCTACAGATGCTTCACCTCTGTAATCACCTGGATTTGCCATCCTTGGTTTCGCTGTGCTGATTACTGAAGGAGTCTCGGATCTTTACCACTTCAGCTGCACACAAATGTCCAAAGGATTTGGTGTACCACTCTGGCATGTGGCCCCTGTCACAGAAAAAAGAAAAAATAGTGATTTATTTAAGCTAGAGAACTCTGAAGTAAAAGCCATCACAAGCACATTTCTCTCGTCTCTCCCTCACCCTCTTTGGTGCTGGGGAATGGATTCAATCCTGCTACAAAGGTGCTGTACCACAGAGTTACAACCTCAGGCTCCCCTTTCATTATTTATTTATTTAAATGTATTTAGTATAGTGTCTACAGGGTCTCATTATGTAGATCAGACTCCTAATGATCCTCCTGTTTTCAGCCTCCCACGTGCTGGGATTACAGGCATCTGCTATCATGCCCAGTCTCAATCCCTGTCTCAGTGAGCCCCAGGGGCGGGGCAGGGACGGCACAACAGGATCAAACCCTGGGCACTGCGTTCTGCCTAAACAGGCACTGTAGTCCACTGAGTTATCTGGCCGGTCCTTCCTTCCATTTTTTGATGAAAAAAATGTGTAAGTAAACATTACTTGATTATCTCCGAGTGATCATGTCCATTACATTTGGAACTAGAAATTTCCAAGGAACAACATGTTGGTCATAGATATTAGATGAAACTGCTCCAAAAAAGCTTTGGCATACGCCACAGAGACAGAACACATGTATACCTGAAAGGCTAGTGAGCTGGGTAGACTTCAGAGGAACATTTATTTAACATAGCAGACAGTTTCTAGAGTTTTCAGAAGTTCAATTTCTGACCTGTTTTGCTCTATTCCATTCATTTTCTTATATGAATAGACATTAATCACAGCATGGGGCAGAAGCCTAATCAATTATGAAAAGTTCACTCCACACTAGTCAAACACTTTTGAATAGAAAATGAAAAAAATCTACATGCTAGTTCAAATACAGAAAATACATCATATCTTGTGGCATTTAAATTCAATGTACAGTCACCAAATTTGCATTGTTTTTAGTCCCACTTTTAGTAAGGAATCCAGATGAGGTACTGGCATACAAAGACCAGCATGAATAAAGTTGTTTTCTAAGCACCATTCTTAGTGAAGTCACCAAGATACAATTACATCCTGATGTGACTCACTCTCTACATCATACAAAATTGTCGATCTTTTTCACTGGACCTCTCTATCAAAAGTTAGAATCAGACATACCTTAAATCAGCTCTGCACATGTAGGTGAGTTTGGATTTTCCTGACCCGCAGGGTTCAATCAAATACCTGGACAGGAGCACATTAACTCTCACACCCACCACAGGTGCTCGGTCATGATCCACAGAGGTGAGTAAAAGGGCACAGGCTCCCTTGGGCAGATTAGTCCTCCAGGTTCTATGAAGACAAAACCAGAAGCAGAAGGTGGGCTTTGTCGGAAGCCAAACTGAAAATGGTGCCTTATTCCGAAGAGACAGCTGAGGGCACAGCTCAGGGCTATGAGTGACACATGCTGGGTAAATGACATCCTCTAGGTCACCACATAGAGTTCAGGATGGATTGCTCCACACAGAATTTATTCCATTGAAGGTATACTTGCTCAGACAGTCACATCTTGAAAAAGAGAACTGTTATGACTTGGCTTTAAAATGTCTCCCTATTCAATAACAGAACTTAGAAAAAATGGGGTATACCAATGAATGTCCATTTTGTATCTGTGTATTCAAAGTGGTTAGGATAGATATATAGTTGCATTCTCTTAATGAATAGAATGATTTGTTCTAATGGTGTTTGTAAATAGGATCTCAAGTCCACATCTTGTACAGCAATTAACCACTAAGAAGAATATATGCAGTGTGTTATTTGTTGAAACTGTACTTCCGATTTGATTTGAAACTGTCTCATTGCTATCTGTTTATCAATAAAATTTTGAAAAAAAAATGTCTCCCAAAGTCTCGTGTGTTTAGAGGTTGGCTTTTTTTTTTTTTTTTTTTTTGTATTTTAGGGAAGGGTCTACAGGGTGTTCAGGGTCTCACTACTAGTGATCTGCTTGTTTATAGCCTCCCAAGAGCTGGGATTACAGGTATGCACCATCACGCCCAGTCTCAATTGCCATCTCAGCATGCCCCAGGAGTGGGGCCTGCATGGCTGGCCCGGGGATTGAATTCCCGGCCCCTGTGCCCACTTGCAGGTGCTTTAATCTGCTGAGCTATGTGGCCAGCCCTTAGAGGTTGGTTTTTGGAAGGTGACTGGCTCATGAGGTCTCTGACATCATCAGTGGTTTAATTCACTGATGGATTCTTTATTTGGTAGCATTACTGGGATGTGAGATGTGATGGAAACAGGAGGTAGGGACAAGCTGAAGGGCACAGGAGTATGTTTTTAGGGATCTATTTCTCTCTCCCTGTTTCCTGGCTGACATGAAGTAAGAAGTCTTTTCCTTTACATGATCCTCATGTCATGTTCTATTTTACCTAAGGCTCAAAGCAATGGAGCCAGTAGACCGTGGACTGCCACCTCTGAAACCATGAACCAAATTAAAGCATTCCACTTCAGGTATTGTGGCACATGTTCTAAGAACATGAAGACAACTCTGTTGGAAACATTCTGGATAAACAATATGACATTTCTTCAAATATTTTTTGAATTCCTCTTTCAATAATGTCTCCAAAGATTTTACATATCCCACATAAACCAGCATTAACCACATCTTGCTTGGGACCAAAATGTTATTTCCTGGTTTATTCATTCCCTAGCTGTTTCCAACCAGAAAAATCTATCCTAAAAGGGACAAAAATCTGCTTCCAAGGAGCATATTAATTTCACTATGTCTTTCCTTCTGAGCTCAGTTTCAAAAGAATTCCAAGCATTTTCAGAGGCGAATGCTCTGTTGGAATAAACATAGATCTTTCTGCATACAAAAGGGTCCACCATGATTCTAGAGGCCTGTGTTTCATTTTAAGGAAAAATCTTAGTAAGATTCAGTGACATATAGGCTCAACTCTGATCTTTAGCCATTTGTGCACAATGATCAATTTGGAAGATCTCACCTCAACACCACATAGTCCCGAGCAGGGTGGGGTGCCATACTGTTTTGGACATATTGGTAGATTTCAGTCTGGCTGTCCAGGGTTTCAATCACTTTCGAATCCAAAAGGTCTACATCCCAGAGGTGCTGCTCCTTCAATAGGCGCCTTAAGATTTCCTCAGGCATAGCAGGGACTTCAATAGTGGACCTCCAGAGTCTCAGAGGGGGACCTTCACTCACCTATAGAGATGATACATTTCTCAGTGTTAAAACAAGACACACACACCTTGAGTTATGAAAGCAAATTATGAGTGGGGACCTGGTCCTATATTTATGAGGCTAATATATTTATGAAGGTAATAAGCTTTCTTAAGAACATTTAGAGTTGGGCCAAGAAGCAAACAACATAGCTGGAGTCCCCTCTGGTTAAAATCATGGCACTTGTTTTTCAGGGATCCATAGTGGGTCAATATGATAGAGCATGATCATTTATTTTCACCCCAATGCCCATATAGCTGTACAAACCATCCTATTTATTTTCAAGGTGGTAGAGAAATAGTTTTAATAAATACTATTTATTTAATACTATTAAGGACCCATAACAGGTTCATAATACTTTATGGACCCATTATGCTGGGCCATTTAGGATGTTCAAAACAGAGTATCTACGAAAAGATAGGCATGCAAAAGGACTTTCAACAAATTTTGGAAAAATGTGAGCATGTTCTAACATGTCCCTTTAAAAGCTTTAGTAAAATATTCAAGAAACTCTAATCTGATTCTGTAGAAACAAAGGATTTCATCAGAAGTGGACTGAAATCTTCTCGAGTGTTAGTGAGTATTAGTCTTCATGTAACTGGTCTCCACTCTTACCTGGGAATCTGAATTGTACGCCTGCCCAGCTTTCTAAGGATGGCTCTCGACTACAGATTCCCATGGAGTCTTATTTCTGATGAACCCAAGTTCTGATCATGGGCATGCAAATGTGGACAACAGCTAGAAACTTACCTTCTTATAGGACAGCTCAGCCTGCTCAGAAGTGGAGTAATTGACCCAGCCTTTAAACTTCTCTTTCACCTCCTTGAATAGGCCATCTACACAGTCCTGGAGGAAGTGTTTGTAGTCAGCAGACTGACTGTTGCTCAGGTGTCCTAGTGCCTCCAGTGTGAGCGGCTTCAGCTCTTGTTCTGTGTAGGAATTGCGACATCGGCTCATTTCCTCGGGCACCTGGGAGGAGACACAAAGGTGGGAGAATGTACCCATGTCTATTCTCAGTGTCCAGCAGTGGGCAGAACTGATGGCCTGGAGCATCAAAGAGGTACAGGCAGACCAACCTCTGTATTCAACAGATGGTGGTGGCAGCAGGGTTCCCACTGACTTCACATGGTTCAGGAAGATACGGACAGAGCAGCTTCATTAACACACCTAAACACTTATTCTTATGTCAGGTCTTCTTCTTTACAAAGTTAGAGTAGGAGGGTAAGTAACTAAAACAGGAGTTACACTGATCAAAACATTTCTCAGATATAGAACTTTTGTGCTAGATAATTTTTGCTTTTCCTTTTTGTATTAAAGATGTGCAGGCTAGGCAATTTCATGACACGTTACTGACTTTATTAACTGTATACATAAATACAAATAGAACATTTTCAGGCTGTTCATATCTTCAGCCATAGAAGAGACTTTTTACTAAGACAAGAACAAGTATCAAGCTTACAATTTTGTCCCATTCACAATAGCCTGCATGTACACAGGAGCCAACCTTCCCACCTCCTTACCTGGAAAAGCTTCTTGCACTCTGCAATCATATGGGCCAGCCCTTGAGTGGCAGCAAGGTTTTCATTCAAGTCTTTCTGATCTGGTTTGCCCAAACTCTGTTTCCTTTGCATTACCCTAGATAGAAGAAATAAAGGAGGGGAATGAGTCAAATATGCATGTATCTTTCATTAGTGTAAAACTCATGGAACTCCAAGGGAAAAAAAACCAAAAAAAAAAACAAAACAAAACAAAACAAAACAAAAAAACTAAAAAAAATGTCCCACTGGTCTGTTTGTTGTTAAGTGGTTTAAGAGAGCTTTTATTTTGTTCACCAGTTTTTCAGTTTTCTCAACAGACACATACATGCAATCATGTACACACACACATTCACAAACATATCACTAAAAAACATATTTTTTATAAAATCCAGGCTAATTAAAGGCATTTGATAAACAGGTTCCTGCCTCACAGCTTGTAAGGATTGTGTCTCTGTGTGTTGAGGAACAAGAAAGCTTCTGAATGGTGCAGGGAGGGGACATTGGGAGTTGCCAGTCCCTCTTCCTACTATTTAAATGAACAGGATCCTCTTTACAGGTGAAGGACACATCTACTACTTCTTGGAGGTGGTGTCTTATTCTTATCTCCTACTCATCTCTGGTTCTCAATGCCTTTAAAGGTAGGATGCCTCAGCAAATTTTTAGAACTAGATAAAAGGGTATTCAAGGCATTGTAGGCTTTCAGGAACAAAACAAACTTCACTCAATATAATTAGGTCTTAGGTTCCTCCAGATCAGCTGGAGGGGTTAATATAGAGGCAATGGTCCAGTCATTCGCTACTTACTTTTATACTTCAATAGAAGTTTCCTATATAAAATATCCATGGTAAGTTAGGAAGTCAGGTTGGCTCTGCCATTGCTTCCTACCAGATACAGACAAGTTTCTTACAGCACCTTATTTTCTTCCTATGGACACCGGACACTCAGCTTCTTCAGGGGGTAGGACTGTCATGACGGCCAATTGAAAAGTCTGGTGCCAGGTTGAGAAGCAGTGCCTAACAAGTATCGCCTTTTGTTATTTTTCAGATCCCTTGACTTTCTCCACGGCATCTTCCATTTGTACACATGAATTCTAGCCAGAACTGTACACTATTATTGGCTTAGGTCAGGCCCTGAGTAGAAGAAATCTTGAGGCTCAACATTATCATCTGTTCTTTAAGATTTGGTTGTTTCAGTGGGAGGTGCTAGCTAGAAAGTTTGGCTTACTGACCATGCAGAGGCAAAGGCAACGGGGATCGACCATCCAGGATTTTACACTAGTAAATCTGCCTGGTCCTTTTCTGGCAAAGAGTACAGTGACATTATCATTTGCCTCAGAGTAAACACTGGCTATGTCAAAGCACCAGCCAATGTTTTGTCTCAAAACCCAGTTGTTAAGGGATTGTTAGAAGTAGGAAGGCACACTTTCTAGAAAGGACTGAGAGGAAAGGAAGCAAAGGATCGGGAGGCCCCACACTGTACATGAAGGAGGTCTCAGTTTCACTTGATGTAAGTAAGAAGCCAACAAGAATACGGGCACAACTCCAGGAGTCAGAAGAGACTGCATGCCACCTTGCTTCTGACCTGTACCTGGGAGAGGAATTCTCTCTCTTCAGGGTGTTGAGGTGGAAGAGGGAAGGCGCCAGGCACACAGCCAGATTGGTGGGCGTCATCTGGTTATCCTTCACAGCTGCTGTGACGTCGCTCAGGAAGTACAGGAGTGTCTGGAGAACCTCGCGGTTCTCATCGGGCAGGAGCATGATGGCGGCCTTGATGGCCTGGAGGCGCTGGTCCTTGGGAACATCTGCGGGGCACAAGCAGCAGCATCCCCTCAGTTTTTCCATATACGTGGCAGGGAAATATCTCAAAGCAAACATCAGTATCGAATATGGAACAAGCATTTGCAAAGAGCTTACTAGAGGTTAATGAGGAAGAACTCATGCACTGCCACCAGCATGCCTACCCTTACGTAGTTCCTGCCTTTTGGAGGAGTTAAAAAATTTCAGACACCCCCAGTACCAATGCACTCCCACATCTACCTCAGACGTCAGCTCCAGACGATTCCTGTACTTTCAGCTAATAACACAAAGCACTTTGTAAAGCCATTAAAAAAAAAAAAAAAAATCAGTGCTTTACAATTTCAGTTATTGAAATTCTTTTAAGATTCTTTTAATTCTTTTAAGTTTCAGTGAAGTTTTATACCTATAGACCAGAGGACAAGAACTCAGATCTCTTAGTATTGATTTGAATAGAAGGTTCACGATCTTTGGGAACATTCAGAATTTTAACTGAGTTGCTCATTCTTCAAATGGGAGAAACTGTCAAGACCACTCAGCCAACTCAAAAACCAGCCTGCTTTGCATAGCGATTTCTTCGCTTTTAGACACTACACCAAGACCTGATTATAAACGTGCGTATAATTATGCAAATACATAAAAGGCAAGCACACCTACATGATGATCTATATTAGGAAGTGCCGCACGCAACTTCTGGGTTTCCTTTACAAGACAACCCTTTAAAACAGTAAGTAGTGGAAAAAAATATCAAGTCACTCAAATGTAGTGCCACAGGACACACTGATTAAACAGCTCCATGGTTACACTACATAACAAATACCTTGGTGGGGAAAATGTGAGCTGTGTTTTCATAAAATACGAAAGGATGAAACAAATAATGAAATAATCCAGACCAGCTTCATTTCTCATAAAATGAAGTTCAGCATGCCAGCTCTGAAGACAATTTCAGCATTAAGAGAAGCTGCTTTTAAATCACATTGCTGTAATACCACTCTGAGCCAAGAAAAACACAAGGCTGTAAAAGCTATAATCCTGATCTTGGTCATTAATTTCAACAACTGTTTGCTTTAAGCTTTCTTAAAAGTGAGAAGGGTAAGGGTATTGTTTTCTCAAGTATTTCTGGCAAGGAGTCTGATGAATAACAGACAAAGATTATTTATTCATTTTACAGTGAGATGAAACACTCAGACACCTGTGAAATTTTAAGTACAACGGGCCTGCTAGAAAGATATACAAAAACTGAAAGAGAAAGTGAGGGGGATAGAAACTGATCAGTTTTGGAATTTGCTCTTTATCTGAACACTTAGACAACACTGTTCTAGAAAGACATAAAAGAAGCTGAACCAGAATGCAAAAATATATAATTGTTCCAGCCATTATAGTCTAATGATAAGAGTAATTTATATTCTCATAATTCAAAAAACACCCAGAAATCTGTCTCCCCGCCACACAGGCAAGGAATAAGTTGCTGACATATTTCTAGGAGGTTACCATATAGGTCTTTTTGTCAAAATATCATCATGAAAGGAAGTTACAAGCTTCAGTTGGTCCCATTTTCTCCCAAAGTCATCAATCTTAAGGCCAAAGAGCACTCACATTGGTAGATCTGGAGAAAGGTCTCTGAGAGCTTGTTTGTCATCAGTGGCTCAGGAAGGTCTCGAAAATACTGCTTCAGCATGTCTGCCACGTCATAAGCAGACTGCCCTTCATAGCTGACACAATCTGTAGCACTCTCATTCATCTGGCGCAGAGCCTGGATCCGGGATTTGACGCCCGATTTTCTAAAGAGCCCAACCTTTTGGAAAGAAAACCTTAGATGTCAGGACGAAAGCAATATCTTCCCCACAGATTGAGGACAAGAAGCATGGAGCTAAGCTCGCATGATGTCGCAGGATCCGCAGGCGGTGGCCCTCACCTGGTCCAGACAGTGGTTGCGGAGGTAGCGCATGGCCTGCTGGATGCTCTGAGGCAGGGGCTGTCCGGTGCGCTGCACATTGACTGTCAGAGGAACCCCGAACACACTCCGGTCCTTGTAGTCTGGAACCTTGATCCTTTTCATGAACTTGGGCACAGCCCTGTTTAGAGAACATGGTGGTGGGGGATGTGTTTATTTGATAATCCACACTTGCCCTCCTCTGTAGGTAAGCTCTAGTCTTTGCTAATAGCAACTAAATTTAAATGAGATAAAGGGACCAATCCTGTTTCTTGCCCTTATTAGCCACATTTTGCATGATCATTGGCCATTTGTAGCTAGTAGATACTGCACTGGACTGTGCAAACATAGAATATTCCTATCACCATTGACAGTTCTGCTCTCGCTGTTCTAAAGGTAAGACTCAGTCACATTTCCTTGGCTTGGCATTGTCCTTTTACTGTTGACCTTGGAAACTAGAGTGGGTATTCCTAAGGGATCCAATGGGCTTCCTTAGAAAATGGTGGTACAAGAAAGAAAAGCAGAAAACATGTAAAGGTCTAATTAGGTACTTTGATAAAGAGTTTGAAAAACATGATCCAAGAAAGTTGGGATAAAAAGATTCAGGCAATGGAGCATGAGAAAACAGCAAACACATGAGGTTGGTCTAAAATATTAAGAACCAAGTCTAGAGTGGAATAGCGAAGGACCCTGCTGATGATCCCAGAGACCCAAAAATCCTCAGGTTTCTAAGGAAACAAGGAAATGGAACAATAGGGATTTTGTGAGCCTACCCCAGACTCCCTGGAGTCATGAAGCCAGCTCTACCCCAGCAGTATAAGGAACAGCAGGAAGCCCATGTCATACATTTAAGGCTGTCAAGCAGACATTTGAGCTCTACAGATGACCCCTTTGGGTGAGAAAAGAAAGGGCAATGCCAAACAAGACAGAAACTTTGGGCAGATTTTTTCCCTGTAACATGGATTCCCACGGATTCCCCACACTGCCAGGCTTTTACATTTGGTTTTGACTCATTGGAAAAACTGACCAGAACTCAAGAAGTACTAGGGACTTTAAGATTCTTGAGGGTTTGGTGGGAAGGGGGTGGGTAGTTCTTTAGAAAGGAGAATCCAAAATATGCAGTTTTAAATAGCCAGAAGGGAAAATATTATCCTAATGCACGAAGGAGCACCACAGAAGGCAGACTGCCTGACTTTTCACCACCATGACAGAGTACCGTTTATAGCTCTAGGAAAGGTACAGCTAAAGAGCAGGGCCAAATTTGTATTTCCATATAGTTCAAGTACACGGTATTGTGGCTAGAAGTGTGCATAATACGCACTTTGTTGGGGCAGAAAGCTTCGCTGCGGAATGTGGAAAGAACACATTACGCTCCCCACTGAGAATCTGAGGCATGTAGGGGTAAACTGGTCAACACTTATTTCTGTCATTCAGAACAAACAACTTCTGTATTTAGTGAGGCTCTCATAACATGCGCCTTTCACAGGAGGGGCTTTGACGCTGCAGCTCCGCTCACTGCACATCTTGAGGAGAGAGCAAGACCAGCTACCTGGCTCTGCAGACGCTGAGGCAACTTTGGTCTGTTATAAAGCATGCTCTTGAAATGGGCTGCTTCTAACTGAGGAACACCCCGAGAAGTCTGACCGAGAAGACTTAAGGACACCAAGCGGGTACTGCAGAATGCCCTGAGCAGTTCTTAGCTTTGCACAAGAACAGAAAAATTCCTATGTACGCAGGTCAGGTCACAGAGCCCACCCAACCCATAGTCCACAGTCAACACTGTACACAAGCAAGGCTGGCTTTTGAAAAGTAATTCCGAAGCAGTCGTCCAATAAATTTCACCTGTCTTTCAATATTTGTCTATAATATTCATAGTGCATTTCTTCAATGAATTATCCACCATTTGAATCTCTTTGATGGGAAAAATTAATACCCTTTGTACATGTAGATTTTTGAGTGGTCCTTTAAACATTCATAGCCAAAATGATTTCCAGTGACCAAGTAGTGTTCATCAAACATTTCAAGGATGATCTCATGATACTTCAACACTTTTCTTTCTTTCCTTCCATACATGTGACCTGATGTTCTACAGATAGCTCACTACTGTGGGTTATTTCTGCCCAAGGAAAGCAAGTGCCTGTACCATGTGATGTGAGAATAACAGATTCTCAACTCCATCAAGGGTAATTTGTCATTTTATGAGAAGAAAACTTCTTTTCATGCATAAATCCAAGTACCCTGATATTTCTAAAATCCCACTAGCTTCAGGACTACTGGATGCTGCCTATGCATGAAGACTACATGAGGACTGGTGATGAGGTATTAATAAAAGGCACAGCTGTTGTATGCTAGGGTTGGGACGGCCTCAAGTTGATGGCCAAATACATCACTTGCAGGGCAGTTTACCAAGAAGTGTAAGCTCTTACCAGCTGAAACCATGCTTGTTAGAAGGTGTGTATCTTTCCAGCAGGGCTGTCAGCTTCAGAAGTGAGTATTTCTGCAGTAAGTTCATCTGGGCCACAGACTGGCAGTTAATCTGCAGAGATACAGAGTTTAGGCTTGGCCGATGAAAGCTCTGGAAACTGTGCCATCTCAGTCTGTGCCTGGAAGAGAACAGGGCAAAGCACATGAGCACAAAAGCTTTTTAATAGTAAATACAAACTGGGTCCTGAACTGCTTGCTGGTACGTTAGCAAGTGAGAGGACTCAACTGCCATTTCAGTCCCATTATCATCCTGTGGCAAAACATGTGGTCATTCCGAGGTATCAACAGGGCATCGGTTCTAGGACACCCTGGGATAACCACATCTACAGGTGCTGAAGTCCCTGTAGAAGACAGCATAGTATTTGCTTAGACCCTATACACATCCTCCTCTTCATTTTCTGGTTAATTATACTGGGGATAGAACCTAAGGCCTTTTCACAGAGCTACATCTCCAACTTTTCTTATTTTTATTTTTTGAGACAGGGTCTTGCTAAGTCACTGAATTGCCTAGGCTGTCATCAAACTTGTGACCTTCATGCCTCAGCCTCGGGCATGTACCACTGTGTCTGGCTTCTCTATGTCAATCACCTCTAGATTACTTATAATACCTAAGACACTATATATACTTCGTAGTTGCTTTCCCAGACATTTCTGATCTGTACTTGGGTGAATCCATAAGTACAGACAGAACTAATGGATTAGGAGGGCTATCTGGGCACAACATAAAATTCATCATTTAACCATTTCATCTTTGGTAGTAAGTGTACCTACACTGTGGTGTAGCCACAACTATGCTCTATCTCCATTTTTTTTGATCTCACCCAACAGAGAGTCAGTATCCGCTAATTTATACCCCTTCTTTTACAGTGTTGGGGGTTTCCTGCCATAACATCTTCCTTAGGAATTTACATGGCTGTGGATGTCAGTGTCCATTCCATGGCCAGCAGATGCCAGCAGATGCCCTACTGATCGGACCACCACCCCAAGCCTAGAGGGAGGAGGAGCATGGCTCTCACCTGTTGCACCTGGTCAAGGAGGCCCCCACCCCAGAGTCCCTTCTCTCTGGAATGTCCGCAGGCTCTTCAGCCTCATTCAGGGAGTTGCCTGTGCTGTCCAGGTCACTGGGTGTGACTCGGTCATTGTCTACATCCAGGTGTATCTGCTTTGGAGACGATGGGCAAGGAGAGACAGAGTCCAAGGCTGAGTCGGAGTCTCCCTCATCTGAGAACTTCTCAGACCACTGGTTGACTATGCGCTGCATTCCCTTCACATGGTACAGGATGTCATCCAGCTCAGGGAAAATGTCCTCATTCTCCAGGTCAGCCAGGTTGCCTGAGCTGGAATAGAGGATGGAGCCTGGCACGTTGTCATAGATACTCAGGCGGCTGCTCATGGAGCTGGAGGAATTGCGTCTCTTCAGTTCCTTGGGGTTGTCACTGCTGTTTTCCCTCCTTAGGCTGATGTGGCCAGGGCCATGGAAGCTTCCCGTCCTCCAGTTCACAGAGCTGTTGCTCCCTGTGGGACAGAAACTGCTGTTGGAGAGGGCCTTGGGGAAGGTACCAGGCTTGTGATCCTCTGGGATGTAGAACACTGTGTCTTCTGGGTAGCTCTCCTGGTTCTTAAAGTTCTGCTCCATCACATTGTTAAATGCAGACTGACTCAAAGGATCAAAGCCTTCGAGATACATGCCCACCCGCTTGTTGCACGTGCTGAGGCTGCGAGTCCTGGTGACAGGGCTGGGCGTGCTGACAGCACTGCTGGTCTCCGACTGGCTGCTGCTACTGCTGGTCTGTGTGGAGTTGGATATGCTTCTCTTTCGTACCATGGGGACATTGATGTGATTGCCATTAAGGGCTGAGATCTCCACGCAGTTCAGCTGCTTCAGCTTCTCCTCATTTATTCCTTCTTGCAGAATGGGCCCACTGATGATGAGCCCCAGCTTGGAGGGCGCTTTGTGCTTGCTGTGGTGGGAGCCCTTGAGCTTCAAGCTCTCCATCCGTTTCAGCAGACTCCGTGTCTTGGACTTGGTGCTTTTCTCATGGCCTTTCATGCTGAAGTTGAAGCTGGACAGTTCCTTGGGAGAAGGCAGGCTGCAGAAAGAGTCATCGTTGCCTGGAAAGTGGCTAGAGGAGCAGACACTGATGACAGAGTTAGTCCGGGGTGTCGCAGCTTCCCCACTGAGGGGCACATGGGTGTGGACACTGCTAGTGCTACTCAGGCTGAGCACAGAAGCCACCTCCTGGCGCTCACTGAGGTCAGTCAGCATGCTCTCGTGGCTCATGGCATTCTTCAGGTGGGAATCATCTGGGGACCCTGGGATGGGGTCCTGCTTTGGAGAAAAGACGTCAAATTCTTCAAGCCGGGACCACCTCTTGCTGTCCCTCTGGAAAGTCCACTTGCCACTTATTGCACAAGGCTCATCTTCATCTGAATCCTCACTCTGTAAAGACAAAACAGGGGCTCTTATATGCTGCAACTGGTGGGCAGCAGGGGCCAGGAATGGGCTAAGGAGCAGGAGATTGCCCTAAAGATGTCACCAATATCAGCTCCCTTTCTTTATTACTTTTGGTTAAAGTAACAAAGATGTATTGAAAGACTCTAACTGGAGAAACTCTGAGGAGGTATTAAAAGCTAATTTAGTTATTGTATTAAAACTCTGAGTACACAGGCTGTTCTTTGATTGCTTACAGAGGGACCCTCTGAGATTGGTGAAAATTCCAGACATGCAAACTGCAGAAATTCCAGATATTCTGAACCGGAGTCAGCAACCATGGGACTCTCTCTGGGCTAACTTCAGTTCTTTTATCTGTTGATGGTATGTGTTTATATTCCCTTTTGCCAATTCAAAAAGTAGTTTTTCAAACAAGAAGAAGAGGAACAACTCAAAGGTGTAATTATTCTCAAAATTTCAAGATCTCACAGTGAATTAATGGAGACCAAAGAAGATAAGCCATCACATGTCCTAGGCCAAGGCTCTGTCACCTCTTACCAGCTCTTCTCTCCCTCCCCTGCCAGGGCTTCTGCCACCACTGTCCTGTGCATTTTCACCTCAGACAGGCTCCAGGCAATTTGACAAGGCTTCACAAATACCCAGTCCTGACAGCAGGGGACATTTCTAAACACCAAACATCTTTCCTGATTGTGCCTGATTTATGTGTAGGACTCAGGAACTTGCGGTCACAGACTGGGGCATGCTGGCCTTTTCGGTGGGATATCAAAGGTACAATTCAACATGATGGTATCTCTGCACTGGGGTAGAAAATATCAGATGGCCCCAGTTTCACAGGACAGTGAGTAGAGAGCATTAAGCAGTGACTTGGGGACTTTTCTCCACACCTCAGTGGATGCTAAGGTTACATACAGTTCATTTGTTTAAGAAGTTTTCATTCTTCAAGGAGGCAACTTACTGCATGTCAAGGACTCTAGGATAATTAAAATGTGTGCTCCAAGCCCTCCGAAATATGTTCTTTGACAAACTTATTCCTGTTTACTCTAATTTGTGACATTAACTCCCAGCTCTACGCCCACCTTTTCTCCTAAGATCTCATAAAAGGACCTCACAACTCACACGCAGAAAAAAATATCACCTAATTCAGTTACTGCCACCACTGAATGCAATGTGTGGGGTTTCCAACCCTCCCCACTTCCTCCCCCAGTTCCTTTCCTCCCTTCAATTCGCTTATGGTTCTTCAAGATCGCCTTTCATCCTGATAGCTTTGAAATGCAATTTATTTGGGAAGACCGCAGAGTTCTTAAAGAATGTTAGCTTTACTTTCTCCAGGGAGCAGTGACTGCAAAGATCCAGTGAGATTCATTAAGCCTATTGCTTTATTACATAGTATTGAGTTAACTAGGAAAAGTGATAGATGATTTCTCCAGGTCAAAAACCATAGATAAGACAGTCTACTGGCTGGCTGCAACTCTTAGTTTCAAATGCCTAAGACTAGCCAGCCACTGGTAAGTTTTACTGGATTACAGTATTGAAAATAGAGAAGCTTTGCAATGAAAAATAAAAAAGTTTTGGGAAATAAAACCCATTAGAACACACATGATCACATATGATTTGCCTTTTATGCCCCTCTATCCTATCATGTAATTTATATACTCACTCTTTTCCGATGAGGGCTGATTTCTAGTTTCATCACTGCACATTTGTTTAAAGTATTCAGACGTCTGCGGAGCAAAGAAATCATATCAGCAAAGAAAAGGAACCACCAATGGGTAAGTAAATACTCTTCCAAAGACATGATACATTTAGTAAGTTTTTGAGCTCAGTAATATCAAGAGTTTAGATGACTCCATTAGAATCTTCTTTTGTATTTCTTAAGATTTTTCACTTAAATTTAATTTTTTCCTGTTTTATATATATAGCAAAACAGCACTCTGCAATGACACTTGTCAGGTACCTTTAATTCTTCTAAAAGCTCCCACACTGAGCCGGTAGGTAACAGCAGTTAGGCAGGCTCCACATCAAGAAATAAGAGCCTACCACGTCACTCTTCATAGAAACAAGAACGTCAACCTTGCCCCACAACACTATATTTTACCTCACATCAAAATTTGAATGAAAAAATATGCTTCAGTTATCTTCAAATAATAATTTCAAGACAGTTTATAAAAATTTTTGGTTGCTCACAGGAAGAACAAATTTGAGGCATCTTTATTACCCAATGACTTTTTGTAACCTTTTTCCCAGAAGAGCACGTTAACAGCAACGATGACAACGGTACAAATGATAACTTAAAAAACTTTTATTCTGTAACATCCATGATAAAATCTTATAGAATTCAAAAATAGACACTGAGATAAGATCTTTCTTTGGAGCAATAATCTTTTTATTTTTTTTATTTTTTTGCGGAACCAGGGATTGAACTCAGGCCCTTGCACTTGCCAGGGAAGTACTTATTTTACTGAGCCATCTTCCTGGCCCTGGAGCTGTCTTGAAATTATTATTTCAATAAACTTATGGAATCTTTGAATACCCGTGAGAAACAGTAATGTCAATTTATTTATTTATTTATTTTATTTTTTGCGGAACTGGGGATTGAACTCAGGACCTTGCACTTGCCAGGCAAACACTTATTCTACTGAGCCATCTCCCCGGCCCAAAATCACAGTGTTTATCTTTTTTTTTTTTTTTAATGGCAGAACCAGGGGTAGAACTCAGGCCCTTGCACTTGCCAGGCAAGTGTTTATTCTACTGAGCCATCTCCCTGGCCCCTGTAATGTCAATTTAAAAGCAGGCAAATAGATGGCTCAGTGGCATAAACACCTGCCTGGCAAGTGTAAGGTCTTGAATTCAATTCTTGGTTTAAAAAAAAAATTGAGAAAAGTAGGCAAATAAGGCAGGGGCATAGCAAGTGCAAATAACTGGCTTTGATCTCTGGCCCTGAGAACAAACACAAACAAATAAACTCAGGGCAATAAGTGACTTTCATAAACAAAAGATTCAAAAGCAACTTGCAAGAATACTAACACATTAGGTACAAAGACTCGTTAAATTCAGATGTCAGACAGCTCTCCGGCAGTGGCAAGGACAGGCCTCCCACCCCCAACTGTCTCCCACACTCTCTGGGAGGCTAACACCAAGCCTTTCCCCACATCCTCTTTATGGCAGCAGCCTGCTGCACAAGTCTTCCCAGCATTTTTCAGCTTTCCTAGAATCTAACTCTTGCATTTTTACGGGACAGGAACACTTCACCCCTCATGCCTAAGCCAGTTACATGCTCTTTTCAAGGCTCTCTTCCTGATCCTGGTCTTACAACTTGCCTGACAACTGTGATGCACCAGGATAGAAAGTCTTTCTGCCTGACTGATAAGGCTGCCTTGGATTTCATAGATTAGGTTGAAACTTATTTATAAAATAAACACAGATAATGCAGATTGGCTCAGTTCAGAAAAATTAACTGTTGATAGGGAGGAAAGGAAAACACCTGAGAAGAAGCTTAAAGACTTTAAAAATGAGCAGGGGGGTGGGAGAATACGGTCTGTCTCTAAGGGGCATCAATTACTTAAATGACTTACACGCACAGTGTTTTAGTTCTCAAATATGTTCAAGATTTAAAGAATCCGGAATGTTTACAGTCAGTGTTAGGTCTGGTTTGCATTAATCAAACCTGTAATCAAATACCCACTTCACTCTATTTGGGCCTTAATGGTTGAGTGGTGTTTATAACCACATTTACTAGGCATGGAAGCCTATGGGGGTTGGGGAAGGGGGCTCACTTCACAAACTCTAAATTTGAGTCAAATAAAAAAGACCCAGGAGGCCAGTTTTATGAAGGTCAACTATATCTTTTTATGTTGGTAGTACCAAGCTAATGGCATAAGCATCTTGGTGTATACAGTTATTCCCTGGGGTTTCTGTGGTTTTTATTTGTTCTCTGGGACCTCCAAAGAATGCTTCCTGGTAGGACTCTGGTTACTTACAGAGATGCTGTGGACGTGAAGCAGTGGTTCTAGCTAGTAAATAAGTTGGTCTCGGAACTAGGGCAGAAGAGTGATTACCAGACACTGGGAAAGACAGAGAGGAAGAACAGAGGGTGATTATAGGGGCCCTCTTATAAGAAGAAGGAGGAAAACAAAGAACGATTTTGCAAGTGGGACTTGGCAAATAAAGATTGTTTTCATTCTTAAAGATCTTTTCTTATGATTAGCACAAATGCTTTTAAAAAAATTATTGAATGGTTAGATAGGAGGAGTAAGTTCCAAATGATCTATAGCACAAAACGTGAGTAGTTAACACGAATTTATGGAATATTTCAAAATAGCTAGAAGGTTGTTGAATGTCCCCAATAAAGGAAATGATAAATATCTGAGGGATGGATATGCTAATTACCTGCATTTGATCATTACTCTTTGTATATATGTATGAAAATGTCCAAGTGATGATGGGATACTTATTTTACTTTCTCATGACACTGGGTACTTTTTCTGTCATTGCTTTGGTCAATCACCTTTATTACAAGCATTTTACATACAACTATTTCAAAGCGTTCAGTTCACCAGGATCATCTCTTTGGTTAGTTAATAAATAAACGTGTTTATGCTTAAAAAAGGAAAGAGAAAATATCACACTGTACCCATAAATGTGTACAATTATTATATGTGAATTAAAACTAAAAAATAACTCTAGCTAGATGAATTGGGGTTTGCTCTGACACCCTTTCTATGTTATTAGCTCATCTTAATCCTAACAACTACCCTGCAGTGTAGGTATTGTAGTTCATCTTCATTTGAAAATGAAGAGATGGAAGCTAGGAGAGATCACAGGTTTTGTCACAAGCACATGATTAAAACACTGGCTTTGGTACCTGAACACAGGTTCTTCTGTGTTCCTTTTAAAACAGGTACTAATGACAGCAATAAAGGGGAGTAGTTTATATAGTAAGGATTCTTCAAATAAGTGGCTTAACATCAATAACCACCTCTCTAAAATTTGTGGTCACTTCCACCCTGAGGGTTTGCATGGGGCTCCCTGCATTCCGCAGGACACTGTGCTCTTACCTCGTGGGCAGGTGGTACCCAAGGGTACAGACAGTGGCTGGAGGTGTAAGGAGCCCAGGGAGAGCCATCTAAGGGCTAAGAACTTTGCCATAAAGAGCATAGCAGGCAGGGATTTAATTCAAAATAAAAGCAAAGGAAAGTATAAAAGGAGAAAGAGAAAGGAAACAAGAATAACTTCCTAAATAAGAACTGACAAAAATCATTTCGGTTTTTATAGATACTTTCTTAGAACTAGTACAGATGCCTTAAAACATTGCCTGCTTCCATCTAAACAGAGCAGAAATGCTAACAAGCCTAAAATCTACTCTAAAGAAGGCTCCTTAGTGTAAGTTGGACGTTTTAAGGGCTGATTTATTTATGTATTTGTTTATTTGTTTATAGTTCTGGGGACTGAATCCAGGTCCTTCCCACTAAGCTACATCACAAGCCCTTTTTATTTATTTTGAGACAGAGCCTTCCTAAATTTCCCAGGTAGCACTTGAATTTATAATCTTCCTATGTTGGCCTCCCAGAACACTGAGATTATAGGAATGGACCACTAGGCCTAGTTCAAGGGCTGTATGAAAACAAAGTGTACCTCAAAAATGACAGTGTAAATATCTATTTTTCATCCTACATGATGCTCAAAATTCTTTAATTTGTCTATAGGAGTCTGTTTTAATTCCAAAAGAAAATAGCAATTTGGAGTATATTTCTGAAGCTGTAAGAAGACGTTTTTTACAAGAGGTAATCCGTTGTAGGTCACAGTTGACAACATTATCAGCATATGCTTCAAGACAAGCTAATTAGTAATCCAGATACTGAGCATATCTCTTATAATCATGCCAATCACAGGATTAAATTATATGGCAAAGCTAGTATGACTCAGGAAAATGACAACTGTTCTTCAAAAAAAAAAAAAGAAACACTTTCTAATAAGAGTTATTATAATAACTCTTATTATAATAACTGGCTGGCACTCAAAATCCTCTGAATGTAGTAGTCTCAAGATTATAACTCTTGGGCTGGGGAGATAGCTCACAGTCTAAGTCCCTGCCTCGCAAGTGCCAGGACCCAGGTTCAATCCCTAGTACTATATGCAGGAGCCCAGGGGTGGTGAACTCCTATAATCCCAGCGCCGGGGAAGCTGAGACAAAAGGATCACTAAGAGTCTGAACTGCGTTATTTATTTATCCAATAAATAAATAAATAAATAAATAAATAAAATTTTTTTCTTTTGATCTCTCTCCTTTCCTTCCTTTATTCTTTTTCCTCTTTCTTTCTTTCTTTCTTTCTTTCTTTCTTTTTTTTTTTGTACTAAGGATTGAATTTACAACCTAGGGAAGTGCTCTGCCATGGACCTATTATTAGACTTTATATTTTAGACAATATTATTGTTCTCCAAAAATCTCAGTTTATGTTTACAAGTCTTCTGCACTGAGCAGAAAATTGTAAGAGACTGTCATCTTGTAGCTTTTTGATCAAGAGTTTTATGACTGGCAAATGTGCAGGAATATAAATTTCAATAAATAACACTACCGTATTCCCAACACCATTTCTACCATCCATGCATAAAATATGGGCCAATACAAAGGAAAAGAATTAGTGGAGAAGTGAAGTCCTAAAATGCTGTGAAGTTTTAAACAGTTTCTATAGCTGTAGCAGCACATTTATTTTACTTATGTTATGGTACCAAGAATTGAACTCAGGACCTTGCACTTGCCAGGCAGGCACTGAGGGGCTAAACTATATCCCCAGCTAGCACGTATATTTTAAATCACCTTTTCTACATAGTTTCAACCCAGAGACAGTTTCACAAATTACAAGGTGAACTTTCCAGCCCTCTTACAGCTGTATCATTTGCTGGCTCGGGAATGCTGCAGGCTGAGAAGGCATTTGCAACAGGCAGGTCTAGCCAATGAGGGGATAGCACATAATCAGCAAAAGAAGGATCCCAACTACAGCCTGGACAGCTCCCAACTTGCAGTGCAGTTCACAGGAGGGTCCCAGCTCTGGTCTTTTTCTACCTGACATCTGTAGGGCCTCCCAAAAGGGGAGTCATTTCCACGTAGTCTTGCTTCTGTGAACACGTGGACAAGGGCCTTCGTGCTTCCCACTACAAACCAGTGGATGGCTGCTTCTATGCATTCTCAAGAATTTCTTTTTGAAAAGGAGCGTGCAATCCACTCTGGGCCTGAGAGTTTAATTTTTGAAGTGCGTGACACCCCCCAGTGCATTTCCTTCTCACAACTCACCTATGGTATGTTATTCTACATACCAGAAAACCAAGCCTCACCAGGAGACGTGGCAAACTGGCTTCCCATCAAGCACTAATTTCTTTTAGGCTTTCTTTTCACAAAAGATTTAGGAATACAGATTCATTTTCTTCACTGTAGACGACTTCTCCAGTGCTACTTATAGTCTATGTAAATTACAAAGTAGATGCCCTTTCCTTTATTAAAGCAAAAGTACTTAAAAAAATCCAAAAAAAACCCCCCAAAAAACAAATTCCCAAAACAACACACTGAGCATCTATAGAAGGCTTCATTCTTTCTCAAGTTCCTTGGGAGAACCAAGTTATTTAAAAGAGTTCTCTAAGGGCTGACAAGATAGCTCTGTAGACTAAGCTCCTGTTTAGGCAACGAGGGACCAGGGTTCAGTCCGTGGTACCATATGCTGTGCTGGCCCTGCCCCTGGGTGCGCTGAGCCCGCCATCGAGACCTGACGTGGTAGCACATGCTTGTAATCTCAGCAGTGGGAAGGTCTAAAACAGGAGGATCACTACAAGTACATTAAAAAATAAAAACAGTTCTTGAAGGTGCAAACAGAAGTACACAAGACTTGAATTATGGCTCTTGGGCCTGGAATGTGGCAGTGATACTTTTATAGCCCAGAAAATCCTCAACCATTGATGCTGCTTGGAGGGCCCATTCCCGGAAAGGCTCAAAGTGTGGAGTCGATGGTCTGACACACACTTACATGTTTCCTAAGATGCATCTTTTGAGTGACCTCATTCATGGGTATTATCACCAGAGATGAATTGAAAATAAATTAATTTTGACCCATAGCTAAGTGGGAAAACATTTTAACGATGTCTGGAGTAGTTGATATTCCAGATGCAGACCTCTTTTCTTCTCCGTACTGCACTGGTGATACTTTTTTATTCCACATGACATAACTATGATATTACATAACTCCAGTTGGAGGACTTGGAATTCGCTCTGTTCCAGAAAACATGTGCATTTAGTTCTGCTTGAAAAGTTGAGAGTGTTTCATTGGTTAGTACGGGATTTTTTTTCTTCCTTAAACCCTGAGACCTAGTCTTTTCTATGTGATGTTCTAAACACCCCACCATTCTCCTAAACTACTACTTAAGTTGCCTGCTTCAAATAACACTGTGTTATGTAAGAAAAATAACAGCATGCTCTCACATAGCTACCACTGAGAGAACGGTGGTTTGGCAACCTGGGATGAGATTTTTTTCTTTTTTTAAGAAAAAAATGTGATAACTTAACTTTCTTAGAACAATATCCAGTATTATTCTACCTTAATGATAATTTGTGAAGTTAAAAATAAATATTGAAATCAAAAGAGAATCTATTTTAAATGTATAATCAAATTAAAATGTGACTTTTACTCACATATTATTCCTCCCCCCCTAAGAATTCAGCTGTTAGGGCTTTTAGGTTTGGAGAAAGATTATGAAGGATGAATAATCTAAGAAGAGTAAAACTGTCATGAAAGGCTTGAAAGGATAATCATTACCCTATCACCATCCATCTTAGACTTTATTGCTTCTGCTTCACTAAAACGTCCACACTGCTCCTCAGCCTAAAGGGACACCAGCACGGCAAACAGGGACTTCTGATAGCTTTATTCACATTCACGTCAGTGCTCATTTACTGCCTGCCTCCCCTATGTTAAAGGCTGAACTAAGTTATTTTACAGCCTACTTAATCCCCAATTTACTACAGTATGATGGAGCAGCCAGAGAGTCTGAGGAGCCTGCCTGGGACTCAAATGATAGTGTTGACTCCACAATGCCGTGAACCTTGTCCCTCGCTTTGTTACTCTGAATGTGTTATTTCCACTCAATATAACAGCTTTGGGCCAGCCAAATAGCTCAGTGGTTTAAAGTGCCTGCTTAGGCAAACACAGTGGCTGGGGTTCAATCCCCAGCCTGCCGTGCTGGCCCGGACTCCGGGGCGCACTGAGATGGCATTGAGACTGGGTGTGGTGATGCACACCTGTAATCCCAGTGCCTGGGGAGCTGAAAATAGGAAAATCACTATCAGATCTACGTAGAGAGACCCTGTAGACTCTGTAGACCCTTATTAAAAGATACAACGCCCCCTCAAAACAAAACAAAACAAAAAAGCTTTGAATTTGTGATGGTGCCTTCTTGGATCTTCAAAGTCAATTAGTGTAATGCTGCTGAGCTATCTCACTGGCCCCTCATTATCTCTTAAAAAGAAAATCTCATTCCAAGTTTCCAAATTTCTAGAGTCAAAATATAGTACTACTATAAAATTATGGAGTGGTACTATTTAAGTAACTCTGGAGAGAATGTGGAGATGGTATTTTAATGATAATACACACAGCATTTTCCTTCATTTTAGTTAAAGGCTTAGGGTTTATAGCAAAATAAATCACCGTACCCTTTGCTAATGAAAGACTGTATCTATTTGGAACAAAAAAAATTAAACCCTAGTGATTAATGAGTACTGTATTTTTTTCCCCCAGAACTGGGGGCTGAACTCAGGCCAGGCAAGCGCTTATTCTACTGAGCTATCTCCCCAGCCTCAAGTACTGTATTTTTGGATTCAGTAATGAAACTGAAAATTCTCAAATCATTGCCACTTACCTGCATAAGGCCTCAATGGCATCTCTGTCCAAAAAGTCATGCTCTCTCTTGACCAAGGTGATATCAATGGGGAACAGGAGATCTGTAAGCAAATCAAAGTGAACCCATTTACTGAATACCTAGGTTCTTGCTGCACTGAGCTAGGGAGTGAACTCCCAAAGGGACACACTGGGTATCTATATAACACTTTAATCCTTATTAGTTCTTTGGGAGAACAATTTTCTGTCAGTACCTAAAACAGCTCCAAAATAGTTGGAACTCTAGTGTTGCATCTTTTCCAGGAGACCTGGTTCCAAACACTGTTGCAGCAGTCAATAATTCCCTGCTATAAATGATAATCAAAGCCAGAGAGAGTAGAATAAAGACTCACACTTATATAGTGTGGCTTTTTTTTTAAAAAATGCATGTGTTTGCTCATGTGTAATCTGAGAATAGGTCATGAAAATAACACAATAGAACAAGAAAAAAAACAAAACAATGATACCTGGCCAAAGAAAGATCTAGAGAAAAGTAGCCAGGCATAGTCATGGGGCTAATCCACTTGTATGACATCAAGAGTTAAAGAGAATTCAAAATACACTATTTTAAAACTAGCATTAGTACTTCAATATAGCTTCTTGGGGAGATTATCTAACTCTCTTTGTTTTTTTTATTTTTGGTTGTTTTTTTTTTTTTGCTCTTCGAATGCCTTCAGGGCACTTTTGGCTAGTTGGAGTGTTGTGGGGATCGAACTACAGCAATCTGAGGCTGACAGGTTTGTGGAAGCAGCAACTTAAAGAACTGAGCTAGGTTCAGGGCCCCTATCTAACTCTCTTTGGAAACCAAGTTATAAAGTGACTATAGAATAACTGAAGTCCAAATCCCTTAATCTGTAGAAGATTTCAATTCTCTCAGAACAAAAAATAACTTATATGAGCCTGAAGTGGAAAGTCCACAGAAAAATTTCTTTCCCTTGTAGAAAGTAGAACAGTGGTTACTATAGCCGGGGAAGGGATGTAAGACACAGTAGGTGATGAAGAGGGTTCCGCGGGATGCAGCTGGAGAGTAGGGCTAGGCTCTTAGCACAGCAGGGTGACTATGTTTGATAACAATTAATTGTATATTTCAAAATAGTACTTAGAGAGAATTCTGGATGATCTTTTAACACACACACACACACACACACACACACACAAAAACAAAACAAAACAAAACAAAACAAAACAAAAAAACAAAAAACAAAAAACGCTCAAGAGATTCATTGTAAGATAGTAATGCTGCTGGGATGACTTCTGTATCTAATTCACCGCCACTGGTTTTACAGAGTTTTGCAGAACCTCTTATTTCTACTATTGCATTTCTTGGGAAAAATGCTCAGAATATCTTTAAAAAAACACTGTTGGAAGCTATCATAATGAGTACTAATTTACTATTTTTTTTATTTGTTTCTCCCATCATGGGTATTTTGTCCAGTATTATATTTTATTTTTTTTCATAATCTTATTGAGAAACAAATAGCAATGGGACAGTTTCAAATCAAATTGGTAGGACAGTTTCAATAATTAACACATTGCATACTGTCTTCCTAGTGGTTTTTTCTTGTACAAGATGCAGACATGATATCCTATTTACAAACACTATTAGAACAAATCCCTTTAT